AATATGACAGGCATGGTGGGGAAGGCGGGGGTGGGGGGAGAGAGAGAACTCACAGGACAACTAGCCCATGAGCTGCAGACACATTCTCTCCCCCCCACTGGATATATTAAGACTCCAATCAGTTTGGAATTCCCAGCGTCTAACCTTACCTAGACTCGTTTTGCATGATTAATACAATTAAAATGTGTATTAGCCCATTAGCTTTCTCACTGCAGAAAGGTTTCTAATGTTAATAATAATAATCCTTGCATTTGATATAGTGCCATATCACATGATTGAGATGGCCCAAAGCGCTTCACATAGTATACTGTAAATTGACTGTATATATTGTGGGCAAACCTCTTGTCAAAACTGTAGTAACCTACGCTTTACGGTTAATTTCCATGAAGCACTTTGAGACATTTAGACAGCGTGCTAAGGCACCTCTGTATATAAAATGCAAGGAATATTATTATAACATTTAAAATTTGATTTCAACCTACAGCTGCAAGCTATGGCAGTATTTTTGCAGTTTAATATTCACAGGAAAAAGTCAGATTTACAATGGAAAGACAGACAATAATACAGCAGAGCACGTATCGTGCACTTGCTTCAGGTATTTCTGCAGCCTTTTGGTCAGGGTCCGAGTAACAGCCGGAAATTAAGAGCAAAGACCAGAGAGAGGTCAGCAGAACGAGTACTGAGGGCAAGTTTTCCAGTTCATTAAGGTTTAGGAACAAGAACTCCTTGTGAATACAGCATTCATTCTCCTATAGACATGAAGACCATATTATAATAATAATAACCCTTGCATTTGATATAGCGCCTTCTCACGTCATCGAGACGTCTCAAAGCTCTTCACAAAATATACTGTGAATGGAATTGACTGCACATTTTGTGGGCGAAACGCGGCAGCCAATTGCGCACAGCAGCGTCCCACCAACAGTCGTGGATTAAGTGAACAAATTTTTTTTTTTTTTTTAAGGGATTATTATCCCCAGAAAAGCGATTCCCCAATCGACTACTGCTGGGTAACCAGAGGTGTGCGGAGTAAGGAAACTTGCCTAACATTTTGACTTGTCCAGGAATCGAACCCAGGTCCTCTCGCTTGCCAGACAAGTGCTCTAACCGCTACAGGACTCCACAAATCTTGAAATCGAAGCATCTTTGGTGCCAATATGTTATCTCGGTGAGCATGTTTACAGTATAAAAACTTCAGGAACAGACAGATCACATTGCAGAATTAAAGTTTAAAACAATTTGCCGTTATCGCCGCTTCTGCCTTGCACTTTTTTTATCTACAGTATGTAGGGTTAGCCGAATCTGGGGTTTACCAGTTTCTGCAACACTGTGTCATTGAGCAAAATCAATATTTATAGAGGGGGCGATGCTCTCTGCAGATGTTTGTGCTGATGATAAGGTACTGTAGTCATAAGAACTCCTAGACAAAAGAAGACCGAGGTCCACACAGTTCGTCTTCTGCCAACCTGGCAGTCGCAGGCAGATGTTATGCCTCAAACTATATACTGTATTCTGAGATAAGTGGTTAGAGCACTCGCCACCCAAGCGAGAGACCCGTCAAAAAGACAATAATAATTTGGTCACTCAATCCACGACTGTTTGTGGGGACGCTGCTGTGCGCCATTGGCTGCCGAGTTTCGCCCACAAAATATACAGTCAATTCACTTCACAGCGAGATTCTTGGCAGGGCGAAACGTTGGGCAAACTTCCTTACTCCACACTTCCTTACTCCGTTTACCTAGTAGTAAGTAGGAACCTGGCTCTGTTATTCCATTGGCTTTTCCGGGGGTAACAATTTAAAACATTTTTTAAATAAGATAATTTTGCCACTCAATCCCACGACCGTTTGTGGGGACGCTGCTGGCGCGCCAGTGGCTGCCGCGTTTCGCCCGCGAAATATATGGTCGGTTCGCTTCGGAGCATGCTCTGCTAAGCGCTTTGAGGCGTCTCGAAGACGTGATAAGGTGCCGGGTCAAATGCAAGGATGACGACGACGATCATTAGATCATTTGCTGAGAGAAAGCGACCCGCGTTCCTTTGGAAAGTCGCCCGAAATAAACCCACAGGTTTGAAACCGCTTCTCACGCGGATGGGGGTGGGTGGCGGGGATGGGGTGCGCCCCAACATCTGGGCGCTTGTCTGTTGGCAAAGGGGCACTTGACTGTCCCTGATCCAGATGCAGATCCAGATGCAGACGTGGAGTCCTGTAGCTCAGTGGTTAGAGCACTCGCTTTGCAAGCGAGAGACCCGAGTTCAATTCCAGGCAGAGGGCGAAACCTTGGGCAAGTTTCCTTACTCCACACAGAGCCTAATAATAATCCCTCCAAAACCAAAAAAAACACTAATAAATTGGTCATTTTCAATCCACGACTGTTTGTGGGACATTGCTGTGCGCCATTGGCTGCCGCGTTCGCCCACAAACATACAGTCAATTCACTTTACAGTGTGTACTGCGAAGCGCTTTGGGACGTCCTCCCGACGTGAAAAGCGCTATATCAAATGCGAGGATTATTATTATTATTATTATAGATCCAGATCCGCATCTGGCCACGTGCGCCCGGAGAGAGAGAGAGAGAGAGAGCGAGAGAGAGTCCAGGCTGGTCACAACAGTGAGACAAATAAAATAAAATAAGATTATATTAAGGAGTGTGGGGGGGGGGGGGGGGGGGAGGGGGGGGGGGGGGGGGGGGGGGGGGGGGGGGGGGAGAGCAAATGACAGTGTGCAGTGTGTGTGGAGAGAGGATCCTGGTAGAGCCGGACCCAAGTTGGAGCAAATCACTTTGTGCCACGTGTTCACACCACTGAAGTCCTGCACCGGTTTCCCTCAAACCTGAGGGGGGGAGAGAGAGAGAGAGAGACACACACACACACACACACAGAGAGAGAGAGAGAGAGAGCAGTGCCCCCCCCGACTCCCTCCTCGGCCACAACTTGGGGCCCCGGTGATGACCTGTGGGCGACGCCAAAGGGCGCGACTCCCGCTGTCACACAGGTGTCGCTCTCAGACCACCACCACCGCCACCGCTGGGCTTCTCCCCTCTCTCTCTCCTCTCTCTCTCCCCTCTCCTCCCCCCTCCCTCCCCCCCCCCCCCCCCCCCCCCCCTCTCCTCTCTCCCCTCTCTCTCTCCCTCCCGATTAACCGCAATTAAATGAAAGCGCGAATTAACCACAATTAACCATCATCGCGCGGAGAGAGAGAGAGAGGAGAGGGGGGAGTGGGAGAGTGGGGGAGAGGGGAGGGGGGGAGAGTGGGGGGAGAGGGGGGAGGAGGGGAGAGAGGGGGGAGAGGGGGGAGGAGAGGGGGGGGGAGAGAGTGGGGGGAGGGAGTGGGGGAGGAGAGGGGGGAGAGTGGGGGGGAGAGGAGGGGGAGAGGAGGGGAGTAGGGGGGGAGAGAGTGGGGGGGAGGAGAGGGGGGGAGAGTGGGGGGGGGCCCTGTCCTGCCGTTTGGTGCTCACTCACACTCACCCCCTGACACCCACTCACCTTCTCACATCGAATGCCATCCCCGGGGGGTTGTGTCGGCTGCTGCTGTTGTTGGGGGTTGTGGTGTGTGAGGGGGTGTGTGTGGGGGTGTGGGAGGGGGTGTGTGAGGGGGTGTGGGAGGGGGTGTGGGTGGGGGTGTGGGGGGATGGGGTGGGACGGGGTGGGGTGGGGGTTGTTGTTGTTGTTGTTGCGGATTAAAGGACCACTCAGACCCTCTTCACTCACTCACTCACTCACTGACTGCGCCGCCGGTGCCGCCCGGAAGTGACATCGGCTCCGAACCTTCAGCTCTGCCTTTCACCATTGGCCGCTGAGAGGCCGAGAGGGCGGGACTTCCGGTGCCCGACACCGAGCAGCTGACACCGCCCCCAACACCCCGGGGGGAGGGGGAGCTGTGTGCGTGGTGAGAGGGAGAGGGAGGGAGGGAGGGAGTGAGTGTGTGAGTGAGGGAGATGGAGAGTGAGGGAGAGGGAGTGTGAGAGTGAGTGTGTGAGTGAGTCAGTGTGAGTGAGTCAGTGTGAGTGAGGGAGAGGGAGTGTGAGAGTGAGTGTGTGAGTGAGGGAGAGGGAGGTGAGTGAGGGAGATGGAGAGGGAGGGAGTGAGAGTGAGTGTGTGAGTGAGGGAGAGGGAGGGAGAGGGAGTGTGAGAGTGAGTGTGTGAGTGAGGGAGAGGGAGGGAGTGAGGGAGGGAGAGGGAGTGAGGGAGTGTGTGAGTGAGGGAGATGGAGAGTGAGGGAGAGGGAGTGTGAGAGTGAGTGTGTGAGTGAGGGAGAGGGAGGGAGTGAGGGAGGGTGAGGGAGTGTGTGAGTGAGGGAGATGGAGAGTGAGGGAGAGTGAGTGTGTGAGTGAGTGAGTGTGAGTGAGGGAGAGGGAGTGTGAGAGTGAGTGTGTGAGTGAAGAGAGGAAGTGTGTGAGTGAGGGAGTGTGAGTGAGGGAGAGGGAGTGTGAGAGTGAGTGAGTGCGAGTGTGTGTGTGAGCGAGAGAGAGAGTGTGTGTGAGTGTGAGAATTCATGAGGAACAGACAAATAACACACATTATTAACACATTAACACTCGGCTATTTCAAATGTGAGCGCACTGCACTGGTCAGTCCAGTTTTTGCCGGAGGGTTTTGACCAGACGGGCGGCTGAGACGTGCAGAAACCCATCACCGCGCTTAGAAGAGTCTCCGAACCAAGCTGAGGGATCCACGCATTCCCACCTACACATCGCAAATCCCAGAGGATGTTTATTGGAACGGAATGCGCTCTGTCTCCCTGGAGGGACCCATTCTGCTTTCCCAGCTCCGGAACGTATTAGGCGCAGGTTGGCCGAGGGGATGGCAAGGTTCGAGGACCCCGGAGCGTGCGTTTGGGTAACTGCTGGAGTCTTAACCAGCTTGCCATCGAGCGCACCGGCTGGCAAGCTTTCCCACTGCTTGTCCAGCGAGGACCGCCCTACCGGAGAAAATCCCCTTTTAAGTTTGGAAATGTAACTGTTCAAAGGTCAAGAATTCTAGAAATCTTAACAGTACAGTACCTGGAAGCCGTTCTCCCCGTCGTGTCCACATATCAGTGATGGTGTCTGTGCTGGTGCAAAGCGGTGTCTTTTGAAGAGCCAGAGGACTCCTTGCCTATCATTCTGCCAGGCAGAGCAAACCATTGTTTAAACCACTTATCAGTCAGGAATAACCAAAGTTATTTCTGAAATCAACACTGCTTTGCTCAGCAAAGCATCTCGGTACATCAGTATCCCTTTGATGTCTATCGTAGGCCAATGATTAAAGATAGTCATCATCATCTATTTTTAAGCAATCAAAGCGTGATTAGCCAAAAATGTTCCTAGCGACAGAAAACAGAGAGGGCAGCATCTATTTCTGCTGATTTAGACAATGTTCTGGCTGCTATTGATTGTGTTCACTTGAGCACTTATTCACAACTTCCTTATAAGAGGAAACATTCCTGTCAGTGGCCGGGTGCTATGTGATGGCTTGAAAGTCTTCACAAATGTCTCGGCCAATATTCTCTGGCAACAACAACAAATGACATGTGTAGGGCGCCTTTCACGTCAGGAGGACGGCTCAAGACGCTGGACAGTCGGGGATCTGCACCCGAGCTGGTGGTTGGGATCACGCTTTGCACAGGATTTATAGAAATAACTGCTTTTCTATCTATTTAATGAAAAAATAATATTATTATTAAGATCAGAGCACAACCTAACTCATTTTGTTGCATGCTGTGCTCTGCACAACACTGCACTGATATCACTGTTGATATGATGGAGGGCAGCGATCGCCAACTAAGTTTATATGCTGGAATAAGATCACGTCAGCAACAAAAATCTATGTACTGGTATTCCATAATTACCATCGTACTATTCTAAGCTCACAAGTGCCATGCATAATGGACTGCAATAGATTTGTGAGTAATTTTTCTCCAAATTGCGAGGACACAAGTGACATTATTCGAGTATCCGAAACTCGCAAGAGGAGGGAGGGAGGTAGAGCTAAAGCTATGGTTCTAGTGGTTAGATTGTAATCTTTAAAATGTTGCCCACAAAAAAGATCTCTCGAATTCTGGGTGCCATGAATATCGCCGCGCCTTGAGAAGAAGAGAAGCAAAGAAAAAAACATCAGTTGAATGAATAAAGTTGCTTCACTGCTTGAAACTCCGATGGCACATTTGTTTTGCTTTAAATGTGGAGATTGCCCAGTCCTGAGGGGAGGAACCCTGTAATGTATAGCAAACCTCCTGTGCTGTGTCCTGGGATGGTTGATCAAAAGTACCTGGATCAGCAGGATTGCATGTTAATGGAAGTGTTGGACAGACGCCTGGAGGGTATGACTGTTGCCGGTAAGTCTAGCCAGTGCTTTATTTTATAGCATCCTTGTGCAGTGCCTGTGGCCTCCAGAACAGTGGGGTGTAGCTTTTCCATGAGGCTGTTTCAATCAATTTTGAATTATACCGAACTACACAGTCACCTCCCCCCAAATCGGCGACAGGCTCCGCCATTGTTAACGCTCCGAGATGCTACCGACTCCTCATGAAGGGTGCTGTGTAAGTTTAAGTTGTTGTTGTTGAATCAGGTTCAGTATTGCTGCTGTTACTCTCTTACAAACAGATTTGATACCTTATAGAATTACTATTATCTGTTTTTTTTAAAAAAGGAGAAATTAAAACAAAACTTACCATTCCCAAAACGTCTCCATTAAAATACAGTAACATTTATACTTGTACAGTGCCTTTCACAATGGGAGGATGTCTCAAAGCACTTGACGATAGATGTTAGAAAGAGCAAAGTCTCTTAAATACGGATAAGCCAAATCCTTACAAACAATTCCTTCTTGACATCACACATGTGAAGCTCTTGATTGGAGACTAGCGAGGATGTTTGCCCTCCACCAGAAATGTCATACCAATGAATCTGCAAAGTTGACGATTTTAAAAACCATTGGTATGTCTTACACGTTTATGTGACTATGTCTGACAGAGTTCGGGGCATTTGGGATAAACGGCTTATTGCACATTAATTTGGTCTCTTACGCTACGTGGAGCAGGCTTAACGTGAATTTGTAACTGAGTACTTAGCACACAACTGAAACCCATTTGAAGAAGCACTGTGTAAATCTTATCGTGGGACATCAGGTTCAGCAAATGGGTTACAAATATATCACTCTCTGTAAGCAATTAGTTTAGTACCACATGTTGCTCTGCATATAAATGAAATGATTTACTGGTGAAGGGTCAAAACATACACAGTGTTGTGACAATGCTAATAAAATTGATAAGTAACTAATGCCAGCCACTAGAGATTAGAACAATTATTTAGCCCATTGTTTGAATGGTTATTATTAGGTTGATGTTTCTCAACCTTTCTCTGGTTAACCATCATTTTTTGTTGTATTTACAACTGTTTCTCATAGATTTACCTTTACGTTAATTGTTCCCAAATGCACTACATAGAAGGTAGGCTGTCAGTCAGGAAGCTTTGAAGTTGGTAATGAAATGCACTTTTGGAGTTTGATTTGAAGAAATTGGCAGCATCCTTTGATCCGTGCGTGAAATTTCCACACTTTTCTAGATAAGTGGTAGAAGAATGAAAATGATACTACGCCTGCCAAGAAGCTATTTAGTTTGAGGCAGAATGATCCATTCTGAAAACAGTCGCTTACACAATCTTTATCGTTGATGCCTATCACCATAGTCGGAATCAAACCAACTATGTTCACTAACGTTATTTACAAAAAAGCTATTTGTCTATCCTGGTTTACTGCTCCTGAGAACTGTAAGGTTGAAATCATTTCAAAATTTAGCCCTGTATAATAACCTTGTAATAGATTCTCTTGTGACATTTGAAAGACGTAAAGCGTTGACTGAATTTTCTCTTCCTTACGAAACAACACTGAGGGAACTGTAAGACATGTTCAGCTGGGTGAGCTGAATCAGCACTGAGGGAGATCTTCCATAAAGATCTACTTAATCTCAATAGGAAATGATGTGATTATGAGCAAAGAGCTTGTATTTCTAGAGTCCTGACATGTCACTTCAACCTGTGTTGACAGATTACCTGAACAAGGTGTAAAACACCATTATTGGTTCCTTTGGCATACACTGAAATTCAGTAATAATCTCAGCTGTACAACACAACCAAACAAGAGCCCTGCTCGATTTAACACAATGAGTACATCCATAATCCAGTTAGTACATAAGGTACTGTACCTAACTCAAAGTACGTAATTGTTCATCGTCAGAATAGTGGTGAACATTTGTCTCGAACACCCGTTCTATTACTCAAATTGACAGTCCCTATTGAATATCATGTACTATTGAAATCCGTATACTCTGCCAAACTCCGCATTATAAGGATGCAGATGTCAACCTGCTTTAAGAGATTACATGAAACTGGTTGTAACACAATACAAAATATACCAAAGTGCTATCCATTGGTTCAGGGAAATATTACAAATCCTATAACATTATGTTTTCACTAACGCCAATGAGCATTATTCATCTCATCAAAATTCACACACAAAAGTCATTCATCTCATTAGTCTATGAACTTAATTGGTCAGATCTTTTTGAATATGATGTCTCCTTATGCTACCCAGTTAATCACATAGCGTGATATCATCAGCAACCAATGTATTATGCACAAAAAGGAAGCCAAGATTAAACCCCTGTGGACTTCTTCAAATAGCTTCCCCTGCCCGCAGAGAGAACATTTTCCATTTATCATCAGCTGCTTTCTGTGCTGAGACAGGTCCCAATCCAACTTGTCATTAATTACATGAGATTTAATACATCTTTAGGTCTCATCAGATTTAGCAGTGAGCACGTTTCATGAATTGTACTTGAAATGCCAGGATCAGTGGAGGATGTGATCGATAAACACGGGTCACTGGGGACTGATCTCGTTATCCTGTCATTTATAGGTTATCAGATTAGCAACTGGGTAAAAAAAATTGTTTGATCCCCTCTTACCAAAACAGTCTTGCAGATTGTTTGTGGAATAATATGGCTTCACGTCACTGTGTCCTTGCACTGAGTTTTATTGATGTACTGAAATATGGAACCCGATTGGTTTCAAACCCTTGGAGCTAATTATAAATTATATTATTATTTTATAACTGTTACAAATTACTTTATGACTTAAAACAACATGGACTTCTGTTACATGGCTCAAAGCTCATAATAATAATAATAATCTTTGCATTTGATATTGCGCCTTATCACGGTCGTCAAGATGTCTCAAAGCGCTTCACTGTAAAGTGGTTCACTGTGTATTTTGTGTAGTTTAATCATGCCGCGGGACATAAATTATAGATAGCGAAGAATGTACGAGGAGCAATTATGTCATTGCAGATTAGAATTTCGCATCCGCCTTCTGATTATATATGTTTGTTTATTCGCTGCTTTACATTAATTGGCGACTGATCATTAATCAGCATTTCCAGGTTGTGTTGATTTTAACTTTGCCCTCTGGCATCTTGTTGACATGAAGCGTTTGAATCTCAGAGTAGGAAAGGCTGCTCCATCTCCTCATTGAGACAATTGCACTTCTCCAGATTAAGCAAAAAATTACATTGTATTGGCTTTAATGTACTTGAAACTCTCTAACTAAGATCATTGTTTAAAATAAAAGCATACATGAATCGGAAGTGCCTCTATTACACAAACCCATTGTGGAGTCATATTTTAGAAAGAGGTTTTTTCCTCGAGTGAACATGCAGTTCCAATGATTTCATCGATAAATTTGGAAATGTCGACCTTTGGTTAGGTAAATTCTGATATCCTGAATTACTCTATTGGGTCATATAATCTTTACAGTGCAATCAGGTGATGTTGAGAAGATAATGGTGCTTGTCTTGTTTCATCTGTACTGAAATGTTGAGTCAGCTACTGAAACGAGCGTAGATGACCTAACCAATAAATGATTGATCAGATAGGATTGCATTACTGTACTCCCCCAAAAAATAGGTTACAAGAACTCACAGCTTCACTCAAAAACTAAAGCTTTCAGCCACGACACCCCGAAAATCTGGAACACTCTTCCTCTACCCCTCCGCCTGGCCCCTCGCTTCCCATTTTCAGGAGTCTGCGTCAGGAGTTCTGAAACGTTGACTCACTTTCCTTTCTCCATAGATGCTGCCTGACCCGCTGAGCGTTCCCAGCGACTTCTGCTTTTGCTACGCAAATATAGTTTGCTGTTGTTAAATTTCTTTTTCTTCCTCACCCCCCACTCTGACTCTCTTCCC